TCCCTACCCTGCCCGACAGCTCCCGCCTCCAGCCCCCATCTTGTGCCTCGGCCCCCCATGCTCCTCGGGGCCAGGCAGCACGGGCACGGGGCAGGACCTGCCTCCACCTCTCCCGGCCTTGAGGCTTAAGGCTTAAGGCTTAAGGGATCAGGCACAGGTTGTGTAAATAGGGCCAGCAGCTCCTGCGGAGCCAGCGTTACCCCAAAAGCACCCCTAAGCCAGGCCACGGCTGTGCCTGCCCCTGCCAAGCCTGGCCCAGCCCCAGGCCTGATTGCTCATCTTCACCCGAAATTTGCCCACAGCCTGGGGGCTGCCTGCTCAGCACCGGCTGCTCCCGCCTCCAGCCCCCATCTTGTGCCTCGGCCCCCCATGCTCCTCGGGGCCAGGCAGCACGGGCACGGGGCAGGACCTGCCTCCACCTCTCCCGGCCTTGAGGCTTAAGGCTTAAGGCTTAAGGGATCAGGCACAGGTTGTGTAAATAGGGCCAGCAGCTCCTGCGGAGCCAGCGTTACCCCAAAAGCACCCCTAAGCCAGGCCACGGCTGTGCATGCGCCTGCCAAGCCTGGCCCAGCCCCAGGCCTGATTGCTCATCTTCACCCGAAATTTGCCCACAGCCTGGGGGCTGCCTGCTCAGCACCTGCAGGCCCCACCAGTTCTCCCTTTAAAAAACCGCCCCGGAGATGGAAGCGCAAGGACCTGCCAGGAAACCTTTGCTTTTGAATAGAGAGGTCCCTGTCCCGAAGGCAGGCACGTGGGAAGGCTGGTACAGCCAGATGGGGTCGGGCCAGGAGCTGCCGCCAGCTCCCAGGGGCTGCTGGGGAGCCTCTGTCCCCACTCTGACACCGGCTCTTGCAGACGGAGCTCCTGGGTGCTTTGCCAGGAGCAGAAAATGAACCCTTTTGCTCCGTCCTGTTCCCACCAGGACATTGGCAAGTCTTCCCTGGCTCCTCCGGCAACTGGGCCGAGCCCTGGGTCCGTCCTCACCCGCGCTGGCTGTCCCGGCCACCCTGCCCTGCCAGGCTGCCCCCTGTCCCCCCCCGCCCCCCGCCC